GACCAGCACCCAGCTCCCAGCTGAGGCTGGGCAACTGTGGGCACTCCCATCCCACCCGCTCACACATGCTCGCTGGACTGGAATATTTCTCGCCTCCTCCTGCCAGCCTCCCCACTGGATGCTGTTCTACCTGTCAGCCAGGGAGCTAGGAGTCTGTGCTTCCGTAGGCCCTTCCTCCAGGCCCCTCTGGTCTCCTTGGCCCACGCTGAGCACCTGTACCAGCCTCATCTGGTGCCCCCAGCCCTCCTCCTGGCAGCCCCCTCACCGCCACCAGGCCACACCCCGCAGCTGGCAGCTGACTCCCAGCTCTCAAACCCTGCTTAGGGTCATTTCCCCACTCAAGGACCCATAATGGCTCTTAGTGCTTAGCTCATCAAGTTCAAGTTCCCCAATATGACTCCTGAACTCCTCCCTTATGCGGCCCCTTCCTCCTTGGGTGGATTCCACTGCCTTCCCCTCTCTCCTCTCTATCCGCTCACACCTCCTCTCTGCTCACCATGAATGCCATGCTTGTTCCCACTCAGGCTGTTCCCGCCAGCACCCCAGCCAGAGCCACCAAGGTAAGGCAACATAGCCTGGCCCTCTCGTCTCCCCAGCAAGGACACTGGATTTGCCCTGGGCCCCATCAGTCTTGGTAGTTTGTACCAAGGCCCTGCCCCTTCTCTACTTCAGCTCTGCCACCTTGTGAAAAGCCCTCTCTCCTTCTTCTCTCCTCTCTTCCATTGCTGAAATCTTAAATTGGACTCAATAGGACTTCCTCAGCCACTGCAGCACAAACGGATCGCTTCCTACCCTGGACCCCAAAGGCTACCTCTTTGGTCAGAACCCCCCAGCCGAGCACTAATTGTTTCCATAATTTAGTTCTCTCTCTCTTTCCCCTTAAGCATGGTCCCCCAAGGGCAGGATGCTTCATCGGACTGGGGCCTCTCCCAGTGGGGGGCCTAGGGCAGGTGGTCAGCACATTCATGGATGCCTTGACCTCCAGGGACCATGTCCCTTCACAGCCCAACCTGAGGGCAGGACCTCAGTGGGCCCTGAGGATGTCCACCCAAGACTCCCCAGGAAGACAACGTCCCATCAGCAGCTGCCTTACCCCTAATAGGGGTCAGTGAGCATGTGTCCCAGTGACAGCGACTCCTGTGATTGGCCCCGCTGTGTCATTGTAGGTGGTAGAGAGCTTTGCTGTTTCTTTAACCCAAATCTCCTCCTCTCTATAGAAGCTCTTACCTACTAGGCTCCACTTTGGAGAGCAACAGAAAATAAGCAAATTTGCCCTTTCAGCACGTTCTTACTCCCATTCTGCACCCCCATCCCCCATATTTTCCCTCTCCAGACTAAGCCACTCAAGCTGTTGCACAAACTGGGGTGTCCACCCGCCTCACCACTCTGGAAATCCTCTTTGGAAGGCAATGCCCAGAATCGCTCTCTTCTTTGAAGGCTTTCTCAGACTCATCTCTCCTGGCCTTGCTCCATTTTTAAGAATCTCCCAAAATGGCCCCCCAGGACCCTCAGTGTCCTCAGATAAAATGCATTAGGGCCTGAAGTTCAAACTAACATAAGTGATCACTCCCCCGTCAGACACACAACCCCTCACCCCCACTCCACGCTCCGATTCACAAGGACATCTCAAGCCCCCTCCGTGGGGCTGGCCCAGCTCCCCCAGTTCAGGTCCCCCGGGTGCCAGGCTGCATGTGCAGAGAGCTCAGCATCTGGCCGACTTTGGTGGCCACTCGTTTGGCTATCATCCTCGGGAAATTCCTTTTGACTCTTATTTTTCAGAAGTTGAGAAAAGCTGCTTCAGCTCTTTCCAAGGATCAGGAGAGTCCACGGCAAACAAGGGCTCTCCCTCTCCATCCTGCCCCCACCCATGGAGCCCAGGAGGGACGTGACCATAGGACCCTTCTACCAAAGGCCTTAGCAACATCTGTTGAGTAAGACGAAAACACTGGTTGAAGATTAAGCCACTTTGCCCTGGCTGGCCTGGCACAGGCTGGAAAATGTGTTTGGCTCATGGGGCCCTGAGGCTGGGCTGAAATCCTATGTCCAGGGATGATGGTCCTGATCCCAGGGGGGTAGGATTCAAGCAAAGTGGGTGAGCTGGGGACATAGAGAAAATATGACAGGCAGACAGACACATGGTGTGAGGCAAGAGGGAGGGGGCAGGGAGGCCTGAGTCCAGCCCTGCAGAGGCTGAAGGGCAGGCAGAGAATGGAAAAGGAAGGAAAAATACAGCCCGCCCTTTCCTCCCTCTTTGAACCGGCTCAGAGCACTTGCCTCGCCCTCAGTGAGGAAACAGGTGCTAAGTGCTCTCTGGGGGGAGCCAAACTTTCTCCCATTTCGCCTGGGCCACTTTCTCACTCCCTGGGGACAGCACTGAGCTTCCAGCTGGAGGCAGGCCTCCCACCCAGCAGCAGTCCTGTTTACTGAGCACCTAATCTACCAGGCATTCGACTGAACGCCTGTCTCCCTGTCACTCAAAAAACACGTACTGAGTACCTACTGTGTGCCAGACCATAGGGTTACAGCACTGAACACAGCACAGAAAAATCCCTACTCATGGAATTTACATGCTGGTGGGGGCAGGGGGAGCCTCTTAAACAAGACAAGCAAATAAGACTCAGGGCTTATCAGATGGCAATGCATGCTGGGAGGCAAAGAAAGCAGGGAAGGGAGATAAGGTTGTTGGGGGAAGGAAAATGCTGACACTTGAGGGAAGGAAAGAGCCCTGAGGTATCTGTGAGGGGTACAGCGGGGAGGAGGGAGCATTCCAGGCAGAAGGAATAGCAAATGCAAAGGCCCTGAGGCAGCATCCTGACTGGTTTATTCAAAGACCAGCAGGAAGGGCTAGCAGAGTGAGCAAGGGGGAGATGAGGTCAGAGAGGAAGCTCTCCTGGAGGCTGTACAAGCCCAAGGAAGAACCTTGGACTTTCGCTCCCAGTAAAGTGGGCAGCCATTGGAGGGTCCTGAATACATGCTGATTCAACAGGTTAATTGCTCCTTTTCTTCTCTTAACCTTACAAGGTAAGTAATATTTCCAACTCCCAATCTGCAGCAGGCAAACTAAGGTCAAGAGAGGTTAAGCAATGTGTCCAAGGTCACAGGGAACTGGGATCCACAGGAGGTGGTCGAACTCTCCTGCTCTTGACCACTGTTGGGGTTCGGTTCTGACTCAGGTGGGGGGACCTCTGAAAGCACAATCTGATGTCACAGCCACTTCACCACCAGGTGGCTGACCAACCTCCGTGAAGGGCAGAGCCTGGGCACAGGTGGGGCGCATCACAGAGATGAGAAGATTCCCTGTCCTCCCTCCTCCTGGTGCTAACCACAACCTCTCCAGCTGGAATGCCAACCATTCCCTCTTGTCCCAACCCCTGACCCTTCCTCACATAAACAAAGCTCACTCCTGGTGGCCAGGCATCTGGCTTCTGCCTGGAGAGCCCTAAACCCCAGACCCCCGAGCCGTCCTAGACCAGCCAAGGACATTCTGTTCTCAGGGGCAGAGTGGCAGTTGGGTTGGAATGATGAGAGGTCTGCTCACCCCACCTCACCCCTCCTGCCCGCCCTCCACAGTGTCTCTCTGAAATCCCAGAGAGATTTCTTACTGGCAGCTCCAAACCAGGCCTACACTCTGGCCTCATCCCTGCAGCACCCAGCTCATTCCCCACCTACACCCGCTGCTGTTGTCAGATGACCTTCAACTGGGCCCCGCACAGTTGGGCTCCACATCTGGAGCAGCACAGCTGGGCAGAGCTGAGGCCCAGAAGGGAGGAGGGGCCGCTGCAAAGAAGGGACACACTTGGCAAGGCCTGAGCCCATGTGCAGAGAGCGGTGGCGCTGTGCTGGGCCCAAGAGGGGTCTATGAGCCACCAGCACTTTCACATACTTTAATTCATTCCATTAACAACCCTGAATGGAGGGAATACTTAATCAGCACTGAGAAGGCCTCTTGAGCATCTAGTTCAGCCATCTCTGTGACGGAAAGGGAAACTGAAGTCCAGAAAGAGGGCGGGACAGGACCATTGCCACCTGGCAGAAGACCAGGTGGCCTGGCTGAGGTTCCAGTATCCAGGCAGGCAGGTCACTGCACAGGTGTGCAGACACCTGTAACTGCCAGACCCCATGACACCCTTGTCCCTCCCCCAGGTCCCACCCACATCCGTGTCGTCACTTGCCCCTCTGCACCAGTGGGTCAAATTGTGACCATAGGGACCCTCCATGACTCTCCTCTGCACACATACGTGTGCGTGCACGCACGCGCACGCACACACACATGCACACACCTGCAGGCCTGCAGCGTCCTCTCCTCCAGCCTCCAGGCCCTGCCCACCTCCAGCAGTGGGTGAGGTGCAGGAGGGGCCTCTGAAGGGTAAGAAGGCAGTGAGAGGGCAGGAGGGAAAAGCTCCCAACATTTCCAATCAGCCCAGCTGGGATCAGTACACAACTCACAGGAGCCATGTCCTGTCCATGCTTTTCTGAAGTCCCACTGGGGAAGGGAGGGAGGAGTGGAGGACACCCAAGAGCAGAAAAGCAGAATTAGCAAACAGCATGGAGGTGGAAGAGGCCACCTGAATGAGAGCAGCTGCCCAGGCAGATGAATTCTGTGGGTCATGCCGTCCATCCCCCTGCCTCCAGCTGAAGGGTACCTGACCCAGGACCAAGTGGGTGGGAGGAGATGCCATCCCCTAGTTCTGTAAGCTCCAGGACAACAGGCACCTGGCCAGGCCTACAGACAGGCAAGATGTCCTTTTATGGTTTTTTCCAAGGACTTTAGTCTCCAGATTGAAATAGGAGGCCCTGCATCCCATCAGAAGGGACCTCATGACTCATTTCCTCCCAGTCCAGCTTCAGCCTCTCGGAACAAGGCCCCCTCCTTTCCCTTACCCAATTACCCGGCACCCTTGGGGGCTGCCAGCATGCTTGGATCTGAAGTAAGCTGCAGCTGGGAGCAGAGGACAGAGGGGAGGAGGGGCTGGCAGAGTAGAGAACGGACTGTCACTCACCACCAATTCATGGTTGGATGGAGGAATGCAGGGGGCAGCCACCTGTGGGAGGAACAGAGAAAGGCAAGGTTAGCATCTTTCATTCCTACAGAAAACCAGGGCCTCCTGAGATCATTCCACAGCCGCCACCTCCATGCGAGACACCCCTTCCCTCAACTCACACACATGGACACTTTGCAGCCTGAGAGTTCATTGGAAGATTATGTGGCAACATGGAAAAATACTTAGGCAACACCGCTAGTGGGGAGGGGGGCTACGAAAGGCAAAAATGAAATGCACATCGCTATTTTTAAATTCTGTAGAAATATGCAGACACTGAAAGACTGAAGGTCCATGCACCAGAATTTTCATAACGGGATTAAATGGTAAGAAAAATAAAGGTTTATTGTCTTTGTTCTTCAATTTTCTGCAATATGGTAAGGTGTGTTTGGAATTTTTGTAAAACGTATTTAAGGTCTCTAGAAAAGGAAGAGCTGCCTGTTCGTTCTCCCCAATGCCAAGGTGTCTCACCCGTAGGTCAGAGTGCAGGCAGCTGGCAGCTTCCCAAAGCACGTGGGAAACAGGTGGGTGAGAGGCCCCTGCCAGCTCTCCCAGAGAAAGCCACCCGTCACTAATAAACACAGAGGTCTGGAGAGCTGAAAGCACCCTCTATGGGTGAGCTATTATTTTATCATCATCCTCATCTTTCTCTCTGATGACCTG